AGCCCGTGGAAGCACTGCACTGACCTTCCAGAAGCCGACCGATCTGCAGTCGCCCACGCGCATTGCATCCCGACAGACTCAACGTGGTCTTGAAGGAAACAGCCTCAACTCGCTGTCCTCGGTAGGTTTTGAAGACCAAAGGGCATCCAAACCAAAAAGGACATCTCCCGAAGAATAAGAAACCGAGTGCTCGGGGGTAATATCTGCTAGTGGGGTCGCCTCTGACCAGCCGGCGGACCTAACAACACACGTCAGTCGGTAGGAAAAAACTGCTTAAGGGTAAAAATGAACCAGTTATGTGTAAATGAGCATGAGCGAACAGCATATTTGGTTTGGCTAAAGTTCAAAGTGGCATGACTTAACACACTTTTTAGTTGGTTGATCAGCTGCATCACTCGGTGGAATGGTTTTATTCACTGGATTACTTCTTGGACAAAATTTACCGTCCGTAGTTGTATCAAGATAATTTCACATGCCTGAAATATGCTTTATATACTTCTAATTTCTCGCCCTCTTTGTCATGGAGGTGGTACAATTCCGCATATATCCAGAGCATGTTCTGAGTCGTTCCTGTTTCTTATGTTTGGTGTTGTTTCGATAGACAGGGATTCGCTTATCAGTGTCCATCTGCAGCCCGCAGAGTCAGTTTTGATCCTTGTCACTCTGTCTGATCCTGTTGTGTGGTTTTGTGCGATTGCATATATAGCTGTGACCAAGTTCTTTTCCAGACTCATTATCTTACGACGATCTACCAATTTTGATTCAGTTAGGTTTTTGTGCTTGGATAGCACAACTGACCCCGATCGACTGCTTCAACTTTTATGTTTGACCTTGCATCTATTGCAAGTGATTTGCCTGGATAAATTATTCTGCCCGACTGGATCAGTGAGATCTTTCAACTTACAGCGCTCACTTCCAGGTGAGTTTGTGGGTTTAAGTGCTATTCTGACTCCATCTAGCCTCTCTGAAAATCTTGCTTCGTGTCTCCGAGGTGCCTTCCTACCAGATGTTCTGAATTCTCTCTTCGCAATATCGTCACTTTTATCCTTATTAGTACCGACACTACCACCAAAATGTGTGTTAGTAATACCATATGTAACTTCCCCTAAGTATTTATTGATTGACTTCGGGGTGTAATTATTGATGAGTGAGGTGTCTTTGATGTATCCGATTTCTTGTTTAAGGCCTGTTTTACCAGAACATTCTTTCACCAATGTCTACAATCTCGTTGATTTCCCGAGCCGTCTAATTATTGGAGAAGACGAAGTGAGATGAGTAGAACATTTGTCCGGACACTAGACCTGAAAGTATCCATATGACAAACTGAAGTGTACAAAGGCTGAGAAGATTAGGTGGTGTAACTGAAGTATTGGCAAGTGAGAACAAAATTGGACGAATGAAGGATATCCGTAATTGACCGGTCGTCTACCAGTATAACTATGGTCATAAGTAGCAAAAAGTAGGTCGTGGTCAGTCCATTTCACGACAAGTTTTTTGATCCACTTATCTGTAGGTCACGAATTAAAGTTCTCAGGTGAAAAGATTGGCGATTTACCAAAAATTAGGGAAGTGTATGGCAGAGTCATAAGTAACAAGCAATTCAGGACCAGGGCGGCAGGACTGTATACTGCATGTTGATGGCTTCCGAGAAAAGAAAGTAAACGGAGCTCGAGTTAGATAAAAAGGCTTGTAAGTGACCGGACATGATGTTATTACTTAACACCCAACCAGCCTAACTAAACTCGACGAGGATACTGGTAACGAAACAGATCAGAAGGACTCAGTTACTTAGTGATAAGCTCGGAAAAGCAAAACATTTAAACGGAATAGAAGTGAAGGCGATTTTTTGGAAATTAGTTTGTCCAACTCATCTGGCTGGCATGGCTTGGCGAGGGTCTCCGTGAATGCGCGCGTTGCCTAGCACATAGGGAGCGCAGAGTGGCAAATACAGACGAGCGGACACCTATGCACCAAAACAAACAGAAATAAAATGATCTGTTGACCCTGCCAAAGATCGGTCGGCCTAAATTTAAATATTTTAAGTGGCTAGTCATTTATTTAGGGCTTAACAGTATTTGATGCAGAGAACGTACACTGCAGCCTCTTACACCGCACATCCGTTACCCATATTTAGGGCATCGTTATCATCTGGACTAACTTATATTGTGGCCTACGGCAGGGCAATTTTGATCTCGTAAAATGCTTCCAACGTCACTTCTATCGTGCCTGACATTTGAGGTTATCTTAAAGCAGTGTGGCCAATGCTGTTGAAATGTGAGTGCTTTGAAGCGCACAGCAGTGATCACAACTTACCATCCACAGGAATAAGTGCAGCACTTCAGTAAATGTCAGTGCCAGGGGCTCTTGAATCGTCAGTGCCTTTTCGAGCAGTGGGCGTGACCAAGGAAGGTCGTTACACTCCTAATAGGAACGCCTCCAGGTAGAATGCATACAAAGGAAGACAGCGAATGAAATGCCTGAAGGTTTGTGCAGCATTGCATAGTTCAGAGGGACGTGTGGGGATTGGAACGGGCCACTGCCTTCCGAAGGTCCCTCGGGTGAACTAGTATTTAGTGCAGTCGCTTGTATTATACCATCGTTGATTGAACTGAATTGACGGTCTCCGCTGGCACGTGGCCTTCTGTGTGGGTGGCTCAACACTGTCTGTGTTTTGGTTCAACGTAGTAATGATGGATAGTGGCTAGCAGTGGAACCCAGGGTGAGCATTTCGTCCCACTTGGGACCTGTCAGCTGGATGCACCTACCTCCCGGCGAGTCATGTTGTCCGCACCAGGATTTGGGCTGGGGAGCGATCGATTCAAACGCCGAAGCTTTATCCACTAGACCACCGAGCCATGACAGCCACCACAATTAGAACACAGGTAGTATCAAGGCATCTGCACAGTAGCCCGTATGCCGACACACACCGATCAATTCGGTCCAATCAGTGACGGTATGCCACAAGCGGTAATGCTAAAACTACACCCGCCACGTAAGCAGCAGCTATCGTAGCGTTTGAAGCCACCAGTCCCGGGTCCGAATCCGGGCAGAAACAATATGAGTCACTGGGAGGCAGGTACATCCAGCTGACAAGTCCCAAACAGAACGAAATGGGCATCCCGGATCCCACTACTAGCCATCATCCATCATGAACCAGTATCTATTGGCGAGCGCGTCTCAGCTCGGGTTTGCTGAAGAAATTCACCTCGCATGGTGGTAGCCAGGTAGCGTATGTGTGGCAGTGGGCAGCGATCTAAGATCGTTTAGGCGTTCAGTTGTTGGTAATCACTTCAAGGCACCAGTTCGTGCAATTTTCGTTCTAGGCTACCGCTGGAAGACCTGGTGATCCGCTCTCCCACCACATCGAATCAGTCTTGACGGCTCTCAGTTTTATCACAAGGAAGGGTAGCGGTTACTGCCGGAGGCAGACTGTTACAGCAGAATCCATGGAACTGTGCCCACTTGCACTTAACAGCAAGTGATAGTGTTTGTGGGATAGAACTGGGATGGCTCCGTCATACTGCTGGATGTAATCCATAAAAGTAGAGGAAAATAATCAGTTCCAACCACACATCCAGCCGAACTGCAGGCACACCACTTAATTTGATATTCCTTTGTCAGAAGGACCATATCTGAGCATCATGCCAGTAAGTCAGTGGCTTAGGGAACTTTCGTGTTCAGCTCTTGTTTATTGATGCATTTTTAGGATATCCTTCGGCTCAGTTATAAACGGATGCCTTCGGGGCATTGTAGGAGGCCAGATGTTGTTATTATGTTGGAAACCCAACCAAACTTGGTGTGCGCTAGTGTCTACTTAATAGGCAACTTACCTAACATCTGAGTGTTGGTAACGAAACACAAATCAGAAAGACCAGGTTATTTAGGTATAAGCTAGGAAGAGAAGTATATTTAAATAGAAAGAAGGTTAAGATGTTTTTCAGGGAAAGTTTCTCCAACTTATCTGGCTGTCATGGCTGAGCCAGGGATGCTGAGGATATGCGTGTTAGCTGGCACGAAGGGAGAGGAAAATGGTATCGAGTCCCCCTCTGATGCCAACTCTTTAAGACAGAACTTGAAACGACTCAGGCACCCAGAAGCGAGACAGGAATATTTGACCAATGTTGAGTCTATTTTAATCTTTATATTAGTCATGGCTCCATTTTTGGGCCAGAAAAGTGCACTACAACATGAAGAGGAACACAAAACTCGCTAGATATCATTATGCTTTCAAAGCCCTGAAATAATTGACAGGTATCTTAATCTTAGACCTGTAGGGGGGGGTGCTACTATTCCGTAACGTTTAACCCCCCTACTTAATTTGATATGCCCTATCACCTGCTTAACTAGTACCTTACCTAACGTGTAAGTACTGAAAACGAAACACAAATCAAAAGAACTGGCGTCAGGAATATATTCGAAGAACTAATATATTTATTTAGAATAAATGTGATAGTGATGAATGGAGGAAAAGTTTATTCAACTTATCTGACTAGTATGGCTGCTCTAGGGACCCTGAGCACAAAGGGAGCGGAGAAATGGCGCTGAAGCCTGCTTGGATGTATGCTAGTTAAAACAAAACATAAAACACATAAAGCATCCAGGGAGAGCTATAGGCTTACTTAGCTAATTTAATTTAACATATTTTTCATGGCCGCAGTTGCATTTTGGTGCCACGAAGGTGCACCACAGACCCATATCACTGGATAATCCCGGGGTGTGTGCTCGTAAAAATCGATTAGGAAAGTTCTAAATTTAGGTAGTTGACAGTAACGAGGTAGGTTGTGTCATGGAAACTGAGGCAAACAAAGAGCTGCAAGTTCTTCTGCGGTTTTTCTACCTGTAGATCGCATGTATGATGTTTGTCATTTCCTCTTCAATACCCAGAGGTCTCAACATTGGGACTTTTAAACCTCTCTTCGCAGATCAAGATAAATGCCTTAACATTTGGATGAGAAATCATGGTTAATTTTCCTGTTTACTTAGTCTGCTTATTAAAGTGGCATAAATTATTTTACTTTTTAACACCAGCTAGCCATGAACAGTTGGTTAGCCCGCTTCATCAATTTGGCGCGTTGCTGTAGTTAAGCAAAATGGGTTCGAGAGGCAGAAGTCCAGACGACGGTAACTGCCTAGTCGGAAAAGTGCTGATAGAAGATCTGCCGAAACGAGCTATTTCTCACAATGATATACGTGACTGGTTAAAGAAGTATGGAAATATTTCTGGTAAGCTAGCTGAATCCGCACGATTGGATATGATCATATCTATATATGAAGCTAGATTCATGTATCTAGCTTCATATCTGACGCTCTGTCATATTGAGTGTAACCCACTTAACCCTAATGCCTAAGAGTATTTTCTGTTGTGTATTGTAATTCTAAGGTATTGGGAAGTCACCCCACTGGTCACACGTAGAAATTTCTACCAGATTGACAGTTCATGGAGGCGATTCATAAATTCTATGAATTATCTTTTCCGTGAAGAAAGTGAGAAACGCACAATTTGATCAAATTTTGCAGACTTCAGCTTCATTTTTCGTAATGTTGCTTCATATTTTCTGCATAACACCAGCTTGATTGCAAGCTGAAATATGGAGTTGGAGCAAACATGGCACTGTAAAGCTTTTTAAAGGTTAAAAAAGCTCACCTAGCAATAAGTGATGGAAATTTATGAACTTTAGAAATGCTGTAATCTATTATTTTGCCACTTATTTACTTATTATGCCTTGGTTTTGAATACTATACTGGTAGCAAACTTTTCCTTTTGCCTTTCTTCATAATTAAATAAAGTGTTTGGGACAGGGAATCGCTTTGCATGTTCATCATCCATGTGATACCAGTCTACTTTCAAGGTCATCACAGTTTTCCGATCGTGCTAGTTCTTCATTATAAAATAACTCCAGTCGCTTGAGTGTGTACTACTCAATACTTATTTCTGAGAGATAAGTGATCCTTGTTTCTAGGTTTTCATGGAACTCGAGGACTTTTTGCCTCTAAACGAATTAATAGCTCTTTGAAGGACATGATTGTTCTCCTAGCGAACCCCGCTTACATCCTAAGTGTTTGATTTGTATTCGCTGCCATCCTATGAAGTTATAAGCAAGCAACCAGTTTGTTTGCTCTAGCATTGATCTTGAGGTTAGTAATCGTGTTCAATAAAATGCAAAGTAAGGGCATCATAAGTTCCTTCGTATCGAGGTGGCGTTTCGCAATATTCGTATTCAAACTGACTAACCTCTGGGGTTTCAGATACACCTTTGAGAGATTTCATGCTCTAATTTTTCTGTTCTTGTACTCTACCGAATAGATGACTAGGTAAGATTTCATCTGTTTAGATGTTGAGACATCCTATGCATAACTGAATAGCTGTAGTATCTTAAATATATCCGAAAACTTTAGAGCTGTGGCTCATTGGTTTAGGAAGGTGACTTCCAACCAATGGGTCACGGGTTTGAATGCTACTCCGCCTACTGAGGTTTAAGCAGCCGGATAGCATCATCAGCCCTCATACAATAGGTGTGGCTCATTGCCTACTGCACAAATATGTCCAAGGTTGCTGGGTGCATCTCTCCCTGTACCCGGAAACCGACTACAGTCAGGTTGCGTCACTGTCACACACTACAGACTATTGTCATCACTAACAAAGGACCTTGTACTACAGTGAAACGGTCCGAGTTACCACACGTCACTTCACCACACTACGATATAAAGTGACAAGATGGGAGATAAAGAAGAAAATATTTTTAGGTCATGAGGTCATATGACGTAAAAAAGGGTTAAAGTAAATGATAAAATGTAATTTAACCGTTAGAATAAAGATGCATATACTCTACTGCGATTCATTTGAAGCCATATTACTAAGGGTTTCCAACTGTCGGTTTCAGTCATCATACAGACTTCAATTTGAAATTCCGCATATACCGAGATGAATTAAACCAACAGCCAGAGGTTTCATGGTCCGATAGCATGTTTTCATCTGACTACTTTTAGCTTTTTCCCACTATGGCCCTAAGTCAGTCGATATAGCGCAACGCGGTAGACGGTAATCCGACCAGCCCAGAGTGCTGCAGCTAAATCACTCAGTAAGGTTAACAGCTTCAACTGACTTATCTCTTTCATCCAAGACTGCGTAATTTAGTACAAATAGTATTTTCCGCAGATTCCTAGAGAGTTGAACAATAATCTGGTAAGAAGTACTGGACTACCCTACTTACTAGTATTATTGTAAACCATTCTTTTGAAATGGTTTGAACATACCTATTTACCATCTACCTCAACACGTCGCTGAAGCATGTGATTATGCAGGATGGTCAGGCAAATATGGTAGTACTGTATGAAGTTTATTGGTTCCAGCTATGGCAAAGTGGTCCCCTGATTGACTTTCATATAATAATTAAAACATGTTTAGAGCCTTTGAGGTTCAGATTGAAGACACGTTGAATTGTCTAGTTCATCTGTTCTTCGTCGATGATCACTGTGTATCAGGCAAGGTGGCCTTGTAATTCAGGTTTCTTAAAATGTTGAGAAATATAAAGTTGTAAGATAAACTTCGTGATTATGGCCAAGTTTCATTATTTCAGTGACATCTGCCACCTACCTAAAACTAAGTGTAGTACTGCACTAGCTATTTTTGTCTCTGGAAATTGACCAAAACTATATAGAATAAGGAGTACAAATAGAAGTTAGTATTTTTAGAAGTTGAGGTACCAAGTGTATATCAGTAGAAAAATTACGGTAGGATGTGAATGCGACTCTTCATGTATATAGAGTGGAACTAGTCTCTTTGAATCCATCTTCCCGTGTTTAACTCAGACACTTGAATCTCTGAACTGAGAAATCCTAAAAAGCTGGAGTGATTCTAAGTTGTGCTACCATTATCATGCAAACCTTGGTTTATTTTATATTCATAAATATACTGGGTAATTTAATCATTGGTTTTGTGGTTTAACTGTTTGTTTGTCGTTTCAATTTTAGAAATCATAATATATTCACGCTGCCTACTCGTCCAGTTTGACTCGGATATCGAGGCAGCTGGCGCTGTACAGTGTGAAAATGGTGCTTTGCTTTTTGGCACCAAAGTCTCTTTAAAACATATGGAAGCCAATGACCTAAAGGCGTTACGTCGAGCAGGCCCACCAATTGATCGATTTTCTACTAACTCTCAGCGACATTCTGACTCCGCTTCCGAACGTGATCGTGACCGAGATAGGAGTCGTGGCTATTCGCGCCGGGATCGCTTTCGTGATAGGAGTAAGTCTGCGGACAACAAGCGTCCACGTGATTTCTCGCCTCGTCGACGTTCGAAGTCACCAGTGTAAGTTTGAATTTCTGTATATCGTATTTTTCTTTCTACTCTTGGGTAGTGATGTATCATGTATGCCACGCTTCAGTTCACAGGCCTGTAATCTTGGTGAAATATGTGGATTTTAAGAAAGCTTTTATGTTTCTCCCCTGCTTTCTACGATTATAAAATGTATTTATATGGCACAAAAACAAGCCTCTAATTTGGTTTGTTCTTACGCTGTACAAATGCGTTTTATAATCGTAGAACCCGATGAGGATTTATTGAAGAGAGTATTCTTCGTTCAGATTGTTGGTTTTTATCAGTGTCATAGAAATCTTTGAATGTTAAGTGATAGTGACTAGGTGAAGTGATGCCACATTTCGCTTCTTGGCATGCGTACTAATGTTTCGTTTGCATTCACATCTCTCAGTGAACTCATCCAAACATCACGCTCCCGTTTAGTATTGTACCAATGTCCTGATCGATAGTTGCTACCTTGACGTGGTGGTCGGGCTTGCATATCACAATAACCCAACGAGCCATGCTGGTGGAACAATTGTTCCCTCGAGGTCCTACCATACCAGAAGGATCTGTTGGATAGTGGTTAGACGAAAAGCGGTGAAAATTACTACACTATGATGGGGGAATCTGAGGGTGAGGTCGTACTGCTGCTAGCTGGATAGGGTGTGACAGCAGTAAGGTGTTTCCCTTGGAAGACCGGAAGTGCCATGCTGATGCCGCCTGCTCAGTGAAGGGGGGGGGTTAGAAAACGTCGCCCCCAAAATAACACACTCCACCATGCCCCACGGTCTACCAGGCCGGCGGTGTTGGTTCATTTGTCGTTTCTTTTCCACCATCCGGCTCGAAAACAAAAGTTCAACACAACCATACACAAAAGACTGAGTGTGACAGGCCTGAAGCAGATGTCTGATGGGCTCTGCGGTCACACAAATCTTTTTCAGATACTTTAAGAAGAAATAGCCTTCCACGGTGTGGGCAGCCGGGAAGTGTCAACCACCTTCACAACTCTATCAGCACTCAAGTTTCATCAGACTGCTATCCACCTCTCTCGTCATTACCCTCTAATCTTCCTTCACGTCTCTCAATTAACGATGCTACATCATCTTCAATTTCTCCTACCTCTGCAGCCTTCGACAACGATCTGAGTCCACAGAACAGTGTCCCTGGTCTCCTTAAACCACGCTCCAAATTACATATTGGAGCCTTCAATGTCCGCACCCTCCGTCAAATTGGCCAACAGGCTTCGTTGGCAAAGACTCTAGCAACTCGAGGCATGGATGTGTGCTGTGTTTGTGAGACACGCATACAGGACCCAAGTGTGGTTATTCACCTGACCTCTCCTGACCAATCTGGTGAATCTGCAAAATTCACCCTTCGAGTTTCTGGAGATTCGAAAGCTAGCTCTCGTGGTCTTGCAGGTGTAGGTATAGCATTAAGCACCAGGGCAGAAAACTCACTTCTAGACTGGATCCCAGTTGATAGTCGCCTCTGCGCTATGAGGCTGAACGGCACGGTGAGCACTAAAAGGAATAGTGAGACCCGTCGTTGTCTCTTTGTAATCTCTGCTTACGCACCCACTGACTGCAGCTCGGATGAAGTGAAGGACGAGTTCTACCGTAAACTGTCTAACCTCCTCTCGGAAGCCAAACGTTCGGACGTGGTGGTTGTTGCAGGTGACCTCAACGCACAGGTGGGTAGACTGAGTGAGGCAGAAAGGCACTTAGGTGGCACTTTCGGAATCCCAGCTGAACATACAGATAACGGTGATCGCCTGCAACAACTATGCTCAGATAACCGCCTATTTTTAGCCAGCACAAGTTTCAGACATAAATAAAGGCACTGTCTTACCTGGCGTCCACCGAGCTCGACTCAGCGATGGACACAGATAGACCACATTGCTATTAGTCATAGCTGGAGAGGATCGGTGGAAGACTGCCGCTCCTTCTAGATTACGTGTTTGGACAGCGATCATGCGTTGGTCCGAGCACGTATATGCCTGCGTCTCAATGGATGTAGAAAAAAATTGGCAACGAAACCACTACGAGTGCTGCTGGACAACGAAAACACCAAAGCCGTTTTCAGTGAGAAGTTGGCTAGGCAGCTATCGGAACAAAAGACTGTCACTCATCCAGAAGAAGCTTGGTGCCATCTTCAGTCTGCTGTAAAAGCAGCACTGAAGACTGTAGCCGACTCCGAAAGAGTGGCTAAAAAGAGCCAGTGGATATCAGCAGCTTCTTCCAAACTAATGGATGCACGTGAATGCATCCCTGCAGGCTCTGAGTACAACGAATGGCGAGCACAACTTAAAAGTAGATTGAGAAAAAGTCTACGCAACAATCGCGAACAGTGGTGGGCAATGAAGGCTAAAGAGATGGAAAAGGCGGCGGCGGCGATTGGTAACAGTAGGTAGTTATTTAGATTTATCAAGGAGACTGGGGGTAAAAGGTCAACAACAGTTAGTGAGGCTATAGCGGAGAAGGATGGGTCTGCGATTCACTCTCAGGGGAGATGACTGGAACGATGGGCAGAACACTTCGAGGAACAGTTTAACTGGCCTTCAGCCACCACTGCATTCCGCGCTATCCAGTCAGATCCTGAATGGAACATTGAGATAGCCCTCCCCCCAACACTAGGAGAAGTCGAGAAAGCTGTAAGTAACCTGAAACGAGAAAAGGAGGTGGGACCAGACGGAGTAACTTCAGAGGTATACAAGGATGGTGGTAAGGTACTCTTAGTCAGGTTAACGGAAGTGTTAACTAGCATGTGGGAATCAAATACGATTCTCTCTGACTGGTCTAAGTCGCTGATTATCCCAGTCTTCAAGAAAGGTGACAAGATCTCTTGTGATAACCACAGAGGAATCCGCCTGACGAACATAGTGTCCAAGATCCTAGGTCCTATAATTCTCTGATGCCTGAGTGGAGCTCGGGAACAGCAAACCGGAGAAAACCAGGCAGGATTTAGACCCAGCCGTGAGTGTATTGACCAAATATTCACACTACGCCAGGCTCTGAAACACCGGCACGCTTACCGACGCCTGACAATAGCTGCATTTCTCGACCTGACTTGTGGGCTTGTTAGAGCATATGGTGAGATGTCCGTGGAGCTGTACTCATCAAGTGGTGTCCGTCAAGGGTGCCTTCTGTCTCCATTCTTATTCAATTTTATCATAGATATTCTTATGGAGGTTTCCCTCTCGTCACCTGACTACACAGAGGTTGACCTGATCACAAGAGAATTCTCGTTAGACCTAGAATATGCAGATGACATAGTCCTGTTAGGTGAAGACGCTGACAAGATGCAGAGTCTCCTGGACACGTTGAGTGGGAATTTGAGAACGTTTGGGATGCGGTTCTCACCACCGAAATGCAAATTGTTGCTCTAGGATTGGTCTTTAGCGGTGCCTCTGCTAACACCAGAGAGTGTAGTGGTTGAGTGTGTTGACCACGTCACTTACCTGGGAAGTAAGATCCACTTAGCCCTGGTGGCTCAGTGGTCGGCGAAATTTCAGCACGAATGCAAATGGTTCGGCTGGCTTTAGCCGACTTACACCACCTGTGGCGCCGTCATGATATCCGATTGTCTGTTTAAGGGTCGCGTGTACTGCACTCGAACAGCAGTTCGGTCTGTTCTACTGTATGGCTGTGAAACATGGCCATCGAAGGTGGAAGACATGAGAAGACTGGCTTCAGGTGTTTGATCACCGTTGCTTTTATAGGATAGACCGTATTCTGTGGTGTCACCACGTGAATAATGCAGAAGTCAGGTGTAGTGTTTTATGGAGTAGAGGTAAATCAGTTGACGAGGTTATGAACCTTCATCGATTGAGATGGTTGGGACACGTGTTACATATACCTAGTCACCGATTGCCTCGTCACACAATGTTGGCCGAAGTATGTTCAGGCTGGAAGAAGGCCCGAGGTGACCAGACTAAAAGATGGCATGAATTGTTTGACTGTTGGTTTGGGCCATGTGGGGCGATGCAGACTAGCCGGTTAGGGTCGACAGGACAAGAGGAACCAATGGTTGGAGACTGTATGTGATGGGATGGCTTAGAACCGATGTCAGTGGCACAGATGTATCCTCATCCCGACCGATAGCTGCTACCTTGACGTGGTGGTCGGGCTTGCATATCACAATGACCCAACGAGCTATGCTGGTGGAACGCTTGTTCCCTCGAGGTCCTACCATACCAGAAAGGTCTGTTGGGTAGTGGTTAGACGAAAAGCAGTTACCGTCATAGTGTAAATTGCTATACTATGATGGGGGTCTGAGGGCGAAGTCGTACTGCTGCTAGCTGGATGGGGTGTGACAGCAGTAAGGTGTTTCCCTTGGATGACCAGCAGTGCCAAGCTGATGCTGCCTTCTCAGTGGAAGGGGGGGTTAGAAAAGGTCGGCCCCAAAAATAACACACTCCACCACGCCCCACGGTCTGCCGGGCCGGCGGTGTTGGTTCACTTGTCGTTTCCTTTCGCTCATCCGGCCCCAAAAATACAAAAATTCAAAATAATCATACTCAAAAGGCTGGGTGTGACAGGCCTCAAGCAGATGTCCGATGGGCTCTGCGGTCACACAAATCTCTTTCAGGTACCTTAAGAAGAAATAGCCTTCCACGGTGTGGGCAGCCGGGAAGTGTCAACCGCCCTCACAACTCTGTCAGCACCCAAGTTTCTTCTGACTGCTATCCTCCTCCTCCATCATTACCTTCTAATCTTCCTTCACGTCTCTTAATTAATGATGCTGCATCATCTTCAATTTCTCCTACCTCTGCAGCCTTCGACAACGATCTGAGTCCACAGAACAGTGTCCCTGGTCTCCTTAAACCACGCTCCAAATTACATATTGGAGCCTTCAATGTCCGCACCCTCCGTCAAATTGGCCAACAGGCTTCGTTGGCAAAGACTCTAGCAACTCGAGGCATGGATGTGTGCTGTGTTTGTGAGACACGCATACAGGACCCAAGTGTGGTTATTCACCTGACCTCTCCTGACCAATCTGGTGAATCTGCAAAATTCACCCTTCGAGTTTCTGGAGATTCGATAGCTAGCTCTCGTGGTCTTGCAGGTGTAGGTATAGCATTAAGCACCAGGGCAGAAAACTCACTACTAGACTGGATCCCAGTTGATAGTCGCCTCTGCGCTATGAGGCTGAACGGCACAGTGAGAACTAAAAGGAATAGTGAGACTCGCCGTTGTCTCTTTGTAATCTCTGCTTACGCACCCACTGACTGTAGTTCGGATGAAGTGAAGGACGAGTTCTACCATAAACTGTCTAACCTCCTCTCGAAAGCCAAACGTTCGGACGTAGTGGTTGTTGCAGGTGACCTCAACGCACAGGTGGGTAGACTGAGTGAGGCAGAAAGGCACTTAGGTGGCACTTTCGGAATCCCAGCTGAACGTACAGATAACGGTGATCGCCTATTACAACTATGCTCAGATAACCGCCTATTTTTAGCCAGCACAAATTTCAGACATAAAGAAAGGCACTGTCTGACCTGGCGTCCACCGAGCTCGACTCAGCGATGGACACAGATAGACCACATTGCTATTAGTCATCGCTGGAGAGGATCGGTGGAAGACTGCCGCTCCTTCTGGAGTACGTGTTTGGACAGCGATCATGCGTTGGTCCGAGCACGTATATGCCTGCGTCTCAATGGACGTAGAAAAAATTTGGCAACAAAACCACTACGAGTTCTGCTGGACAACGAAAACACCAAAGCCGTGTTCAGTGAGAAGTTGGCTAGGCAGTTATCGGAACAAAAGACTGTCACTCATCCAGAAGAAGCTTGGTGCCATCTTCAGTCTACTGTAAAAGCAGCACTGGAGACTGTAGCCGACTCCAAGATAATGGCTAAAAAGAGCCAGTGGATATCAGCAGCTTCTTCCAAACTAATGGATGCACGTGAATGCATCCCTGCAGGCTCTGAGTACAATGAAGAGCGAGCGCAACTTAAAAATAAACTGACGAAAAGTCTGCGCAACGATCGTGAACAGTGGTGGGCAGCAAAGGCTAAAGAGATGGAAAAGGCAGCGGCGATCGGTAACAGTAGACAGTTATTTAGACTTATTAAGGAGACTGGGGGGAAATGGTCAACAACAGTTAGTGAGGTTATAGCGGAGAAGGACGGATCGGCGATTCACTCGCAGGGAAGGCGACTGGGACGATGGGCAGAACACTTTGAGGAACAGTTTAACTGGCCTCCAGCCACCATTGCGCTGCCCGCTATCCAGTCGGACCCTGAATGGGACATAGAGACAGGTCCCCCAACACTAGAAGAAGTCGAGAAAGCGGTAGGTAGCCTGAAACGAGGAAGGGCAGCAGGACCAGACGGACTACCTGCTGAGGTATACAAGAATGGTGGTAGAGTTCTCTTAGTCAGGCTAACGGAAGTGTTAGCCAGTATATGGGAATCAAATACGATCCCCTCCGACTGGTCTAAGTCACTGATCATCCCAGTCTTCAAGAAAGGCGAGAAGTCCTCTTGTGATAACCACAGAGGAATCAGCCTGACAAACATAGTGTCTAAGATCCTAAGTTCTATAATTCTCCGACGCCTGAGTGGAGCTCGGGAACAGCAAGCCCGAGAAAACCAGGCAGGCTTTAGACCTGGCCGTGGATGTATCGACCAAATATTCACACTGCGCCAGGTCCTGGAACATAGGCATGCTTACAGACGCCCGACAATAGCTGTATTTCTCGACCTGAAGGCGGCATTTGACTCCGTTGATCGAGAAGTCTTATGGCAGTGTCTGTCACTGAAAGGCGTGCCTAGTAAGTACATCACCTTATTGAAAGCTCTCTACTCGAACACTTGTGGGCATGTTAGAGCCTATGGTGAGTTGTCCAGGGAGCTATACTCATCAAGTGGTGTCCGTCAAGGATGCCCACTATCCCCATTCTTATTTAATTTTATCATAGATATTCTTATGGAGGTTTCCCTCTCGTCACCTAATTACAAAGACGTTGACCGGATCACAGGTGAATTTTCCTTAGATCTAGAATATGCAGATGACATAGTCCTGTTAGGTGAAGACGCTGACAAGATGCAGAGTCTTCTGAACACTTTGAGTGGGAATTTGAGAATGTTTGGGATGCGATTTTCACCACCCAAATGCAAATTTTTGCTCCAGGACTGGTCTTCAGCGGTACCGCGGTTAACAATAGAGAGTGAAGTGGTTGAGTGTGTTGACCACTTCACTTACCTGGGAAGTAGGATCAACTCCGGTGGGTTAGTTGCCGATGAGATTTCTGCACGGATACAAAAGGCTCGATTGGCTTTTGCCAATTTGCGCCACCTATGGCGCCGCCGTGATATTCGTTTGTCTATTAAGGGTCGCGTGTACTGCACAGCAGTCCGCTCTGTTCTACTGTATGGCTGTGAAACATGGCCATTGAAAGTGGAAGACATGAGAAGGTTACAGGTATTTGACCACCGTTGCCTTCGTAGTATAGGACGTATTCCGTGGTGTCACCATGTGAGTAATGCAGAAGTTAGGTGTAGAGTTTTAGGGAGAAGAGGTAAGTCAGTCGACGAGGTTGTGAACCTTCATCGACTGAGATGGTTGGGACACGTACTACGTATGCCTAGTCACCGATTGCCTCGTCACACAATGTTGGCTGAGGTGGGTTCAGGCTGGAAAAAGGCCCGAGGTGGCCAGACTAAAACATGGCACCAATGTATGAAGTCTCTGACTGTTGGTTTAAGCCATGTAGGACGATGCAGACTAGGTGGTTGGGGTCCACGGGACAAGAGGAACCAGTGGTTGGAGACCCTAGGTGATATGGCTCAGAACCGAAGTCAGTGGCGCAGATGTATACACACATTATCCTCATCTTAACAACGCTATACCGAATCTCACTATTTTGTCACTCCTCTTTCCTTTCTTCTCATACTTTATATTTCTTTTGACTGCATTCACTTATCTTCATCCTTCACCTCACTACCTTTTTACTTGATGTGCTGATATGAGGTGTGGCAACTCGGACCGTTACGCAGTAATGCCTGGTCCTATGTTGATAATGATGATGATGTATCCTCATCTTAACGACGCTATACTGAAACTCACCATTTTCTCATTTTTCGTTTCTATCTTTTCATAGTTAATATTTCTTTTGACTGAGTTTTCTTTTCTTCATCTTGTACTTCACTGCCTTTTTATTTGATGTACTGATATGAGGTGTAGCAACTCGGACGGTTACTCAGTAATGCCTCGTCCTGTGTTGATAGATGATGATGGTGTTCTAATGTCAATTTGTATAGACAAGAATCTTGGTAGTGGGGATTTTTCTTTCATAACTAGGTGTGGGAAATATTTAGAAACTATCCTTACATGTTTCCTGACAACTAAATAAGAAATTGATTTTCATATGGCATATTCTGTAGGTAACGAAGTGTATCAGAAATGTATACAGCCATACAGTTTTTTTCATAAATGCAATAAAAAGTGAGCAAGTAATTTTGGCCATTGGTTTCCATAGCCGGAAATGCAGCCATGTAGTTATACTCCAAATGTGGTCATGTTTCGTGGTGTTCGGTTTTAAAAGTTTCATTTAACCTCTCAACAACTTTTCCTTAATAAAAGACACTTCAGAAAGACATCGTGAATATTGGCTGCTGGAAAAAGTACCCTGATGCACCAGTGGAATTCACATCATGTTTTTATCAAATTTGACAACTGAGTGCTTTCTTGTACAACTTTGGCTCACTACTCTTCACTCAAGGAGTAGGTTGCAGGTTCCAACCACGTATTAGGGTTGTGGTGGTCATGGATTATCATTAACCCTTAGGAAATATATTTGGCTCGTTGCCCAGTGTATGTTACACAAGAGAAAACTCTCATTTCCTCGTTTCAATGTAAGCTAATTCTGGTCACGGGAGTTTGTGTTTCATGGTCTTTAATTTTCATTTAACGGACCCTATTGTATCGTTTCATCCTATTCGGCCATTAATTTGCTGTCAACCTTTATTAGTGTACATCAGTACTTATCTGCTTCATTTGCAACCCGTTTGTTTTCACTGGTAGCACTTTTCCTAGCTGTACAATAAACATTTTTATTTTGTCATGTTTATCGAAATATTTCAATTTTTCTAATTGCAGTTTAACGCGTAGTGATCGCCGCACGGTTCATCCCCTTAATTGGTTATCAGAGGTCGCTGAACGAGACAAAAAGCTGTGAGAACTTTCAACTATTTTGTACCGTTCTTTTTAAGTGGTTTATGCTTTTTATGTCATACTAGTATATTTACCGTTCTTTCCTCTATGTCTCACTAACGCATAGGGACTGATTAAATGTGGTAATGCAAAGCTAACATTTTTGTTAAGACTAAACAGATGTGTAGTATTTCCAATATTATATATCTTATTGATAGCAAAGTAGTGACTGTTGTGAATCATTGACTTACGCACTTCATTTCCAACCGACGGTCACGGGTTCGAACCCAGTTCCACCTACGAAGGTCTATACGGTCAGGTAGTCTCATTAACCCTCGCACAATAGGTGCAGCTCGCTGCCTACTGCACGAATGTGCACAAGGTTGCCGAGTGGGTTTCATTTCGTTCGTTTAGTGACTGGCGTACTGAGTGCTCATTTGTTCAGGAAACAGCTAGTGTGGATAGCTAAAATGAGTAAATTGTATTGGTTTCACTTTTATGTTTTGCGTATGTCAAAACTTTCCAGATAAACAGATATGAAACCATCTGTCTAGAAATAGAGAAGTATCTGGAGCTGCGAAACACCTAGAATATGACAGTACCAAAGTACCAAATGGTGGATTGCATTAGTAAAAGTGTTTTTAGAGTGATTATTTCTTGTATTTGTAAACATCAAAAGTTCATTAACCCTACTGAAAGATGAAGTGTAATATCAGTTGAAGGGTTTGAACTCTTCTCAGTGAGTAGTTTATTGCTTTTCTGATTATTATATAGGGATTAGTAAAATATTTCATATACATTTATATTCTGGATTCCGTACGTTTGTGTGTATATTTCAAACGATCTAAATCCAATCAAGCCAAGTGCTTACAAATTATCTTCAGCATTAAAGTATGATAATTTCAGATATAGTTTTCAAGTTAAATTCAGTGAATTGTGTTGTCAATTGATAGTTTTTGTTTCAAATTAAGCTTCATCAAGTCCAGATATCGGGCAAGATTGTACCGGCTAAATCATCGTAGTCTTTTTATTCATTTGTTTGTGAATTTGATGAGCACTAATTTGTGTTACACCGTTGGAGATCGTATTTTAGGCAGAAGTTAACTTGTGTTCTCTACTCAAGGTCAACGGGAGGAAAGAAGTAGTATCTGATGGATTGATGCATAGATTTTTGTTTCTACTGCTACCCCTCTTGCATTGAGACTAGTTCTGGTTAAGCTAAGCAAATCATGTTTAGCAAAGTTCAAAGTTGTTACCTAATGGTTAACAATAAGGTACAGGTTAGTAGCATTATTCACATTGTAAGTAGTGCAATGAACGGTACTTAAAGTCTCTTTTAATTTAACATCTTTTGTTTTGACCTTAGATGTAGTTTATATCTAAGCAACGCTGTTTGGAATAAAATAATTCCAGCGTTTTGCACGGAAGTTTGACCCGAGTTCCTATTGCTTTATCTATTTACGACAAAAATATACTGTAGCATTGCTACCAGCATAAAATGATATCATGATGTGAATATTTTGCGTTGGAATGTTGAATCTTGTATAATGATCGCACGTATCGTGTCTTCTCAACACGAATTCCAATTTACAAGACTGAAGATAGCTGTTAGTAAGGTAGACTGATGCTAAGAAATGGTTTCAAATCCCAAAGTACTTTCAACGAAGGTGTTAGGATTTTGGTCTACTATTCATTCATAAAACCCACTAGTTTACCAAAAATATTTCAAGGGCTGTTGTCTCGCGAACTCAAACGCAGTCCACTTTAATGGGATAGCTTAATTATGAACAAATAGGCACGAATGAGCTAGCATCTAAACGTTTATATCTGAAATCACGAGCAGCTCATATTTTGAGGAAGCTAGTACTATCTGTCCGACAGACAGAAAAAACACAACGTAGAACCTCCCACGCAAGTCCTTCGGCTCAAGCTGCTAAACCTCACAGTATTATACAAAGAACAGGTGGACAGAAAAAGAGTGGTATCAAAGTGGACAAAGTTGTGTGAGAGAATAAACAATCTGGAGGTAACGGTTAGTGCGAATATTCAAGTTTTAGAAGATATCAGAGGGTGGATACATCTGCTCCATTGTGACCGATTTTCAGCAATGTCACCAGGCGTCCTCAACCACTGATTCTCCTCTTCTCCGAGACCCCAATCCATCAGTCTATATCTCCCCTCCCCATGTGACCCAGACCAACATTCGTGGACTAGTGTCACGTGTGGATGTGATCACCGTGGACCCTCTTCCAAGTTCCCCTAGTATGGCACGTTGAGGTAGGAGGTGGCTCGGCATGTGCAGTACATATCCAAGCCATCTCATTTGACTGAGGTTCAAAACCTCATGAATCGACTTGCTTGTTTTGTCTAGTACTCTTCGCCTGACTTCAACATTGACTTCCACCAAATGTGAGCAGTGCTACAAAGACATTTGTGATCAAACGCCTGTGATTGCTTAACGTCTTCTACTTTTAACAGCCATGTGTCACAGTTGTACGAAAGGACAAAGAACTGCAGCTCAGTATTGTCTCCCTTCGATATGTAGTTAGATATCGTGGTGGTCATCGCCACAGATGATGCAGGTTAGTGAATGCCAAACGGCATTTTAAGTATCCGAGCTTAGATTTCATGAGCGATCAACTGGTTTTGGCTGATGGGACTCGCTAATTAAGTGGAGTGACTAGCGTTATTGACTTGCTCGGTAATTCTTTCACAGTCAGACACTGCCACAACACATTACGCTTGACAGAGTCGAATGTTGCCTTTAGGTCAAGAGATGTAGCAAGAGTCGTCCATTGGCTGGTGAGTGTGCGTGTGTGGCAGGACCTGTCGGATGTTGGGAATCTGATCGGTGCACCCTCATTTACGTGTGAAATTAGCTTGTTTATTTCGAGTTTGCTGTTGTCGAGCTCCAGTTAGGCGTTGGGTAAGTGTGGACGCTAGGATCTTGGATAGAATATAAGTTGATTTGATTATCTTCTGGTTGTCACAAGAAGACTTCTCCTCCATTTTGTTTATGACTGGGATGATCGGTGAAGTGAATTAGTGTAATGACACTAGCGCTGATTGCCATGCACTCACTGTCTAGTAGGTTCACTACTTTAATTATCGATATTATGTGTCGATCGTTGGAATTTTCTGGTGTCAAATTGTCATGTTCTGCTACTTTGTATCGTTTAAAGTTCGATAAAGCCTTCTCAACTTCAAGGAGAGCTAGAGGACCGACATCTACATCCTATCGTTCAGAATTTTTGGGTTTTGTTCGTTGTTGCGATATCTTTTTACGACTTCAAATAAAGTCATAAATATTCATGTGAATAGAATTCAACCATTGAGGTGTTCCTAACTTGATTGTGTATTGAGCCCGCATGTAGAAACATTTATTTTGTGGTGAATGTGTGGTGAAGCGAATAGGGACTAGATATCAAGATGCTTATTAAATAGTTACAGATACGTAACTGAAGTCAGGCAAATAAACGAGGAGAGGTTTACTTCAAGTTGATTTCTGCATTGTTCCATATGAAGTTGCCAATCACTTCCTGGAATTTGATGTACCATCAATCATGAATGTCGCCATATTATTTTCGGCAACCTTCAGTTATAGAATTCGATTACATATTGAATTGCTTATTTGATATAGCGCACTGTGATACAGGATTATTTACTGGATGACGTTTTGAGATGAATTTATTACTCATTCTCATCAAAGTAACCATACGACTTCCCAACTTGGTTGGTGTTGGAACGTTCTGCATTCTTTTATTCTAATGGTAGTAAAAATTTTCCATATTTTTGCGATGTGTGATATGTCATTCGTGTTACATGTATTAAGTGTTGGTTCAGTTAACAAAGATGCCGTGTTCAGTTTCTCCTTCCTCTCAGGTATATTGAGCTAAAGAATTCTCATGGTATCCTACCCTACAGTGTGATTATGGATCAGTGCATACAGAGCGATAGTTGAGTTCGCCTCTAAATTACTTATCTTAGTGTGGTCTACCATTGTTTTGGTACATTTTTGTCTTCTGCTATTCTAAGTGACAGTGATCAGCTGCTTTGACCTACATACTTGACCTCACAGTCATTACATGGTGTTTGATAGATTTTTGTTAACTGACTCTACTGGATGTTTTAGCCGCAAAGTTTCTCTCTGAGTGAGTTTATAGGTGTAAATACCACCCGAATCCCAGCATCGTTAAGACTTCTATGTAAAATTTGTGATGTGCCTTTTGTATACGGCGACACGGTAGAGAATTTGAATTCTCTCTTAGGCGCCGATAACATTACCACTCTTATCTGTGGTTATAAAAATTTTAAATAAGTTCCGAAGGATAGTTGTTAACAAGTAGGGTCTCCTGTGATGTATTTCAGTTTTTTATTTAGGTTTTCTGACTTACTAGCTAGACTCCTAGCGTGATTATATCCATGACAAATTTGTGCATTGTGGAGTTAAACAATTTATTATAAATTTATTTGTAATGAATGTTTATACAGAATGATACTACTTAATTTTTGTAATATTTAGCACAAAGAAATATCGTTGTGTGTGTATTCGTTATATATAATATTTATGATAGAAATCCTAGTCCGATTACTTAGATATTTTGTCAAGCCTACCTTAATAGATATAGGGTCAGATGATGTGAAATCTAAGTATCTATTCGAATGTGTTGGTTGCCTACAAGCTTCCATCTTCTCTCATCTCGATTTTGCAATTGGGCATAGGTAGTTCTCCTTTATTTTCTAACTCTTGAGTGAATTGGATTGGGTCTACTATTGAGTTAATTTGTGCGAAAAGAACCCTAATATGTTCTGATTTCAATACGATGAATGTGTTTTCTGTATTTCACTACAATACTTTTGTATACTTAGCTGATGTGGAGTTGTCTTATGTTTTGAACCTACTGATACTTCTATGCTGGATTTAAGGTATTCAAGTTTGAGTTGAGCTGCGTGCACAATATACACTGACACTAGAACACCAAGCAGGAAGGAAAGAAGAATTTAATGAGACGAGAAATGGAGCTGAGAAATTTAAGAAATGACAATACTGTAGTAATTAGTAAATGTGACAATAACAACTCGACAGTTGTTATGAAAAAGGCGGATTACTTAAGAAAAAGTCAATGGATATTTTGAAACAGGAGCATCTGAGGGAATTGAAAAAGACGTACTGACAGTGAATAAGGTTAGAAAATCTACAGTTGATCTAATACGCTGAATGAAGCCTTGTTATAATTAGCAGGCTCTAGACTAATGATTATGCCGATAGTTAAATCTTAAAGACCGTTTGAAGTTTAGCTGCAACTCAGTGACTGTCAACTCATAGCATCAAGGAGGTACCAATTTGTGGTAAGTTTCGGTAGCATGCTAAACGTGCCTAATCATAACTTACATTCCCTATTTCGTCTCTTCTCCTGCTTTCACTTCCTAATGCCAATAGTAAGCATCGTGTACTACCTTCAGCTTATTACTCTGTGACCATGGCTGGCAATTTAAGCCAGCAAAACACCATTCATAGTCCCTCGAAACCATGCTGTCAAATTCATATTAGAGCTTTGGAATCGTATATCAAGTCGGACAACAGATGTTACTTGTCAAACGCGCTAAATTTCAGGGTATGGGTATATTTTGTGTTTCTGAGACGTGCATATGGGGTCTTATTATGGTCATTCACTTGACCCCAGCATGCCAATGTGGTGAGTCTGCAAAGTTCACAAACTAACTGCGAATTTTCCAGTGCAAGTATGGCATATAGTTGTAGAGTAGAAAGCACTCTTCTCAACTGGATACCAGTCAACACTATCTGTGTGCTGTCTAGCTTAATTGATGCGAGAACTGGTAAGGATCGTGACACTCGCCGATATCTACTCATTGTCTCTGGCTACATGTACATCCACTTTGCTTCATAAATTCTTAGCTGTAATCTCATCCCACCAAGGACCAGCATGCTAAGTCATCACGTACTGCGACATGCAGTGTTGACCATCTTGGAATTGCTTGAAAAACGGCTGAAGCTGGCCATATCATTATGTGGTGCCAATATATGAAGTATTTGACTGTTGATCTTAGCCGTGTAGGCAGATGTAGACTGTCTGGTTGGGTAGTCCTGACAAAAGGAATCGGTGGTTGGCGACATGGTTAGAAATCAGTCATAGTATCGCATATGAAGTCACTCTTTCACCCCTTAGAAGTCTTGAATATTTTCGCCAATCTTCGCTTTTCAGATCTCTCTTCTCATACACTGTTGCTTACTTTGATATCACTCTTTGTATTTACTTGTTCCTTGCAGGCTGCTGTGAAGTGTGACAACTTAAAATGATGCAATTCTGTGCGATGTTATCCGATGATGTGTCTGTTCCCTCTAATTTGCAAGTCGTATGTGAACAAATTAAAAAATCCCATTGTGTTATAGATGTGCTCCACCAATTGTATACACAGGATTTCTTATAGGTCAAATTTTAGATGTTTTCACAGTAATCACAATTTTGATTTTTAGATGTACATGGCAGGCATTTACACATACACAAATTCTAAGTTGGAAACTTACTTTTTTTTGCTGCAACCTGTTGAATAGAAAGGCGGGAAAAAAAATTAAGGTGTTTTATCAATTTTGATCGTCTAATAAGTGAAGTGGCGGTTCTTGGTGGGGTGAGATTTACAGCTAAGAATTTTTCAAGCAAAGTTCAAGTGATAAGTATTGCTGATTTTGTTTGGCATCAGAGTTGTGCGCAACTATCTGTTTCTTTGGTGAAGTTCCGCATTACTTTTGTTCACAACTATAATTATTTTCGTGGCTTTTTGCTTTCGTAAGTGATTTGACAATCAGGTTCACTTCAAAACTAATTCTGAGTCAGCTGGTAAACTACTATAGTCCCAATATCTGTTTCCGTTTTTAGCATCGAATTAAAGAAACCGAAATGCACTTATCAACCACGTGCAAGTTCCATGCATTAGGCAATGAATCATACATACATATTGGCTTATCTGTGTTCTCAATTGTTGCCTTAAGTTTCTCATTTCGACTGTTGTGTGGTGTTATCATTTTGTTGGATCTGTGCCTCATAGGTTTAGATATTCAGCTTTCAGTAAACGGAACATGGTTTGAGCGTTCGTTGCACTTCGGTTCATGCAACCATGTGGTATCATAAATAATGACTTGGAAGGTGCGGCTTATAATCTACCACACAATCCTCTACTAGATTAAGTTGCAATTAAGATAATGTTTAAAATGTTACGAATTCTCTTTATTCTTCCCTATTTACCTCCAGTAATGGATCTAGTCTTCTTGGTCCTGCAACTAAACCGACCGAAAAACCTCTTGTCAAATTGCCTCCTTATGCAGTCGCGATAATAACCGTTCAGCATGATCTCGTTCCCTATGCAGAGATTATAGAACAGCGTATCACTAAGGCCTTAAACGCGCCGGGAAGTCCACCAATTACACACATTGTGGTTCTGCTATCTGCAGATCATCTTAGTCCATGTCTGGCGGATCTCACTAAAGATGGTGTTCCGTTCGCAGTTATTTGCACTATGACTAATTGGGCGCATAATTCATGCACACTGCGCATTCTATACGCACCAACTCAACAGGGTAAGTATATCTCTATGACTGGTTTTCGCAATGTATTTTCGTTTGTTGTGATTTTTACTACTAGCCACTGGTCGAAGACTTGGTTCCAGTTGCATGAATTCTTCCTTTAACATGTTTTGCATTTAACTAGTAGAAATCATTTAATTTTGGCAGCAATATTTTATACTCAAACTATGCATCAGTACAAGGTTGGGTACTAGTGAATTTAATTTCATCGAATAAACCTCTGATATTTTTGCTAAGGGGTTCATTGCACTTTAAAAAAAACCTTTTACGCTGAGATGACTAATCGAACCGTGCCAGAAAGATCTGTTGGATAATGGTAAGACTAAAATATTTACCATTTCAGTGTTATTAGCTACGTTCTGTCGGGAGCGAAGTTATACTAACGGTTAGATAAGGGGGTAACAGCAGTAGTGGTTTTCTGAGGCAAGTAGCAGTTTAATTGCGCCAGCTTTCTAGTCTGATAAGAAGAGGTTAGAAAAGATTGACCATAAAACGTCACACTGCTTTGTCCTACTGAAGATGTATGTTCTGAACATTTTGTTAACTTTCACTGATTCACATTCCTTTCAAACGCTTTTTAACTCTTGCATTGCTCTTTCACTTTGCAGTTCATCGTGTTTACTATTGTTGACTACGATAACTTGGATTGATGCACTTTTGTGTGGGGTTCTATGTTGATCTGTCTGATTGTACTGCTTTTGGTTCTCTATTTCCATGTTACTATATTTAAGATGAAAGTAATTTCCAGATGTTCATATGTTATTCTGGATGTGTTTCGTTTTTTTGTTCAGAACACCGTAATATGCCTTTGGATGATGCAATGACTTTACTTCAACGAGAGTATACTGCATATACAACAAATAGCAAGGATGTAGTAAACGCCGATCCGCCAGAAGATGCTACTTTCTTGCCACCTAGCCGCCACTTGACTTCTCTCCTCCGTATGTTGGCCGATTCTCGTGTTCTTAGTATTGGGGAGTTGGATGAAATCTCTGCCTTCGTTCAAGAACGGAAGCGTCGTTTAGAAGGCCATCGAACTGCTGGTGGTGCTGGTGAGTTTTTCAGTCTCTTCATTTATACTCGTTGAACAAACCGCTTTACCTCAATTCCCAGGATTCTATTGAAAACTAAATTAAGGTTTTCCAGTGAGGTTTAAAAGAGGTCCTTTGTTGTTATTCAGACCAAGAAGTGATGCCCATCCATAAAGTTTGTGACCCTTAGTCTGAGCTGTGTAGGGAGATATAAACTGCTTGGCTGGGGTGTCTGAGACCATAGGAACCAATGATTGCAAACTCTTGGTGGCATGGCTGAAAATCGGTCACAATGACACAAATGTATTCACTCTTTGACATCTTCTAAAGCTTGGACATTTTCAAAAATCCTGATTTTCAGATTTCTTCCATATACCCGTCTACTTCGATATCAGTCCTTTACTGTCCACTTGTTCGTTGCGTGCTACTGTGAAGTATGGCAACTTAAACCAATATGCTTCTATGCGAGGTTCGACTTTACTTTTATTTGTTTGTCTGTTTATTATTCATCTCAGTAGCATCATAGCATTTTCAGAAACAAAAACTGTATTATTGTGTGCTTTTCAAGTAATTTCTCATACTTGGCTGTGGAGCTGTGACTCATTGGTTTAGGAGGTCGTGGGTTCTAACCCCGCCACACCTACCGAGGTTCGAGCAGTCAGGTAGTATCACCAGCCGTAACACAATATATGGAGCTCATTCATACTGCACTGGATTTCGACTTCGATTCAATCATACGTGGCTATCTCATTATCCTGGTAAACAACCCAATGGAATAAAGCTCTGAGCAGGTTGTTTCGTACGCACCACATGATTATGCATATGGACTTACAGCTACCTAGGTTTCTTACTGCTTGACATCTTTTATATTAAGTGAAAACGTTTTTCATATTTACGAATTTCACAGTAAACCAAATAGAAGATGTACTAATTTGCCTGTCTTATGCTTTTATTTACCTTTTGCAGTTAATGTATATACTTTAGGCAAGTACAATTCACTGCGACTTATCTTTACCTATAAATTAGTTAACGCAAATTTTCTTTGAACGGGAAAGCATTTGATCTTTGTTAAATGTAATACTATTTAATGAACTCAGTAATCTAAACTCATTTAATCAATTTTAGGCACTTTTAGTATAACCATTTCATTATAAGAAAATCTCCTCACATCATTGTCTGGATTATTAAAAAGTAGGCTTAAAAAGTGCTATGCGACTTATTTCCGGCACTAAACTTTATTTCAGGAAGTCAAAACAGATTAAAGCTGGGGGCATATCAGTAAGTTTATGATTAGTTATCAAATGTAAGCATCAAATGCACGAACTTCCTAATTTCTTTTTCTTGTTACTTTATAAAGATATTCATTCTTCTACTTATCATCAAAGCCTATTTATTCATAAGAATATATTATTGTGAATAAATAGACAGTGGTATATGTATATTTGTTCTTAAAAACTGTGGATTTTGTTTTCATCTGAAACAGTTTTTCTCCTGATACCATGCTTGGTATCATCCACTTTGATTATAAGCATGACTAATATCTTTTTTCCCGATTTTTCTCCCTTCTCCTGGCTGGTCTACAATATTGTGTCGCGTGAATGGAATTATTGTATGTGGTCGTTATCGTTCACGCTTCTGCCCTTAACGCAACTGGTCTTCATATCCTAAACTGTAAACAAATGAATGAATGACGCGTTTGAGTAGCCGGTGTGGGTGGTGAGAACACAGCTGAGCTCAAGTCAAGAATTCTAAGCATGCTTTACCCTCAGCCTACTAACTCTACTGTACCTGCAAGCACTACTTCTAACGAACCAGGTAATATTTCTCATCAAACTCCAGCCATGACAGCCACGAGCATCGGTAACAAATTAGCTGAAAACTTGACTAATCCTATTGTACAAAAAGCTATAGATACGTTAATGTCTTACCCTCCAAATTCTGTGTCCCAAGCTCAAAATCAGAGAACGTCTGGTGCATTGGACACACAAGATGTACAACTAAAGAACTCTTTTAGAAACAATTTAAAACCCCAGCCTTCATCAACCACCGCTCCATACTCAACAGGCGGTATGAAGCAAAATCCCAACTGGGGATATGAAGATGGTTCCGGTTTTCGCTCTAATCGGCCATCTGTACCAAATGACTATGATCAAAACTTGCTGTATGGACAACACGGAAGACCGAGCACACATATGCAGCGTGAACATCTCGGAGAAGAATCGAGAAAAGGAGCCGGATTCATTGAACCTGGAGGGCCAAGGGGCGTATATAACTCGGAATTCGAAACGTCAGAGCAAATGGCTGAGTCTGGTGGTGGTGAGTATATGGAAGAGGCTTACCCCGGGTGGCCCAGACGAAAACGAAAGAAACGAGGTGGTAAAGTTACCTCAAATGATTCATATCAGTACCTTGACCCGAAAAGCTACACACGTCAAAATGCTGACCAGCCATCTCAGCAACCTCTTGATCTTATGTCCACTGAGGTTTACCCAGTCGGTAGTGTGGCTGAAGCGTATAAATATCCACAAACTCTGCCACCTATGTTCAACTCTGGGATGCGTGGTAGATCTCAAAGAATGACCGGTGGGAGTTCATCCTATAACAATTACAATTATCAAGCATTTGGGTCTCATCAACCAAATAATATGAACCTACACCCTCAACCTTATGGTTATCCCAACCCTTCTACATTCTATTAGCATTTTCAAAATAATGGTTTTCGTAAGATTGGTTCGGATTCTGTCATTCATGTTCAAAAATGTATTTTACTCCTGTTTGTTGTATTTCATTGTTAGAGCGAAATGCTCTGTTCACATCAGTTCTTTTGAGAAGAAGAAGAGGAAGAACATGGACGAAATACATAATTTACTATGAATAAGAATAAATTTTGTTCATAAATTTTTTTGTATTGTGCCTGATCATCTCATACTGTTGACTAAATTTCATCATTTTCATCTTCAACAAAAATTATTCACATCAAACTTGTTTTTTTGTTGATAAACTACCCAGTTATCGTGTCATGAAAGAAAAGTATTCATTTTTTACTGTTCAGTATGTCTTGATTGATGTTAGGTTTTGTATTCAACCGCTTTAGTGATACTGTTTTACCTATCTCAAACATTCTGCCGTTGTTTATCAATAAAGCGAACGGTTGATTTCAAGAAAGTAGCCATGAACTAAATTATTATTATCACCTTAGAATCCATATGTAATGCATATGTCATATGTAAAGCTATTCCTCATGAATAGCGTTGTCTTGCTTACCCGTGTACTGACTTATATTTATTGTGGGTTCAAAACGTGTAAATGAGCCTTCTAGTTGTGTCGACTAATCACACACTATATGAACGAAGTTTCATGACATAGTGATATCACAGTATAATGCTTATTTAGTATGACAAGTACACTCCGGTTTCATTGAGAAATCGATGAAGTGTGTTGGATGATAAGCGAACAACTTAGCTTATACGAGTCAGTACTGAATTCCTGTATAATTGTAGGTGAAAGTAAGTTTTGGTATATTTTGATTCTTCGGAATGTTGCATTCTTTCCCAATGTATGTATGTTGATCAGTATTGAGTTGAACTACTCGACATATAGAGTGAAATTGGTTATAAGTATGTTAGTAGATTGATAATACTATTCCGATTGGGCTTTATCTTCACCATCTTTCCATGTATGTTAGGATTCGGAACATTGAAATCCTGTGTTGCAGTTGAATCGAGATTTTTGACTTTAATTCGTTTGCTTCCTTATTTAAAGCCTTCCCCCAGTTTAGGAATCCAATGTATATGATTTCCTATTTGGTAAGTTATAGGAATTCACTGTCATCACGTTTGTGATGGATTTAAAGCTCACTGCATGCTCTTCGTATCTAAATTTCACGACAGTATACAGTTTATTTGTTGAAGATCAGCTACAGTTTATGGTACTAGTTGCTCACTCTGTAGAGTATAGGTTCTCACTTCTGAATGCTGTTTTACTGATTGTAAATAGAACTTAAATCCACTTTCAGAATTATTTTATTTGTGTGATACTTATTTCACTCCTAACTTATAGCCTCATTTCCAAGTCAGCTATGTATTCGAGATAGTCATCGTTAATGAGCGGCTCACGAACATATATCATTACCCATTCTTTGGTCTTGTTGAGAGACCATCTTTTCAAAGATCTGGGTAGCCCAGTTAACGCATAGTTAAATTAACTGTGTTTACTATATTTTAATCCTTTGTTCTGTTTTGTAAAGGAGTAATCTTCTTTTAACTTCCCTCTACCAATGATGAATACTAATACAAACTTCTTATGTGTAAAACCTGGAAGATGATTAGAATTCAATATTCTACATCAATAAATTCTTTGTTACATTAAAAGTTATACTTCTGTTCATCACCTGTTGTGTATGCGCACTAAAGATAACAGGTGAGAATGCATGATCTAAAACACATGAAAATCCCCTATATCTGGAATTAAACGTCAAATATGAAAGAAGAATATTCATTTCGATAAATTCATTCCAAGTTCTACGGTTGCAAAGTCAACTTTATTATCATAATGATAAAAAGCATGGCGAATAGTTCTAACAAAATGTATGCTCCTGAGTTTATTGCATGAAATTTTGATCTTCTTAACCGTGGCTAAGATGGCAGAAATTAAACTTGAATCCTGCATCGTAATTGTATTTAAAGACTTTACCCATGAATCTAGTTTTCAAATCATCTTTGTACGTTGACAGCAGGAGGAAATAATGTTTTCCAGGTTTTTGGGTACGGTATAACAAAGTGAAAATCAAAAATATCGCAGCTACTCATTCATTCCTACCAGTTACATCATTTCAGGCTAGGTTGGATTTCCCTAAATTAAAAATATAATATTATCTATCCATTGTATATTTATTTACGACTGTGTTAGATGAGTCATCTAATCTATATGTGGTCTGGACTAAACTTGGACTACTATTTAATCGTTTATCAGACATGGTAACTGTGCTTCTATGCATTAATACTTCCTCCGATCCATTCTTGTTGATAGTATAAAGCCACTAAACTCCTTAATGTATGAATTTTTTCGTGAACTGAACAGTTAATTTTACAGCATGTCGTCGGTTGTAGTTGGGATGGTCTAACCTTACCATTGTACTCTTCCTATATGATTAGTCAGAATAACTGTGTAAGGTATCCTGAATGATTGTTGCCATGTCTTGGATCTGCATTTTGCGGTGCAACTTACCTACTAGAATCTGATCCTCATTGCCCAGGTTATGGGCCCATTAAGTGAAAGTCATTTAGGCCAATGATCCTCATTTCTATCAAGGAAATATGTTGTGTCCATGCAATCGGTCAATTGATAGGGCAAAGTAAATCACCGCTAGTACAATTAATACATATTTCAGTCCCTGTTCCCTGGGACTTTCTGAAGTATCCCAATTTTTTTCACCTGAAGTAAGATGATTCAAATATAATAGTTACAAAAACACGCTTACAAGGTTAATTGGTTTTCTCCATGGATAACCGAGTTCTGTTACAGTTTTTGTGCAGCTGATATCTTTGAAAATCAGTATATAAAAGTAACTTTTCCTAGTCATTCATCAATGGCGATTTGATGCTCATAAATCACTGTTACTATGCCGTTGGAATAACCAAATTTGATATCCGATGTGGTATAATATGTAAAGAAAAGTGATAGTTGTCACCGATCACCTAGGATAGACAAATCAATGTTAAGTGCTTGAATTCATGATAGTAACAGCCTTTTATTAGATTGGAGAGTGCCTTCAGATGGATTCAACTGGAGATATCATTTCAATTTAACACATTTATCAAAGGTGAAAATATTCGAAATTTTCCTAGAGATGGTAAACATACGGCAAGATTTTAAGGAGGATAAATAGTATCATAGTAGTTGTGTTGCTATGTCGTTTGTAAACGAGGAACTATTGTACTCTGGTGAGACTTACCGTTACGGTTACTTATCCCAGTACACACAACAGATCTACACTAAATATACCATCAGAATGATGAGAAATTGAGTCGATTAGCAACGAGATTGAAAAGAATAAGTGCTGATTTAATATATTTACCTCATGAATGCATTATACGTACTAAGTAGCGATTCTTATCAATTCATTTGTTATTATCTCCAGTAAATAATGTTTTCGGATTGCATGTTTAACCGATCAGTCAGTCAAAACTTACAAATATTAAATTCCTGGATTTAAATATGCAGTAGTCTCAGCTTGAAACAGTGAGATCCTTATAAGGTCAATCAAGCGGTGTACAAATACCCAAGTACTTCTTGATTAGATTAGTTGTCTGTTGGTTCTCTAGTATTCATACAGCTATGGTGAGCAAGAAAATTATAATGTATGAGAGGAGTGGAAAGCAATCTAAGTACTCATCATTGACAGTATAGGTTTCTAGGATCATTGTTTGCTGAAGATGCTTTTACTAACAATTGGTTTACATGCATTAAACAATCACTCATAGTCAAAAACAACCTAGAACTGACTACAGGCGCATCGGTTAAAGTTGCCAAACTTCACAGTATTATACAAAGAACAGGTGGACAGAAAAAGAGTGGTATCAAAGTGGACAAAGTTGTGTGAGAGAATAAACAATCTGGAGGTAACGGTTAGTGCGAATATTCAAGTTTTAGAAGATATCAGAGGGTGGATACATCTGCTCCATTGTGACCGATTTTCAGCAATGTCACCAGGCGTCCTCAACCACTGATTCTCCTCTTCTCCGAGACCCCAATCCATCAGTCTATATCTCCCCTCCCCATGTGACCCAGACCAACATTCGTGGACTAGTGTCACGTGTGGATGTGATCACCGTGGACCCTCTTCCAAGTTCCCCTAGTATGGCACGTTGAGGTAGGAGGTGGCTCGGCATGTGCAGTACATATCCAAGCCATCTCATTTGACTGAGGTTCAAAACCTCATGAATCGACTTGCTTGTTTTGTCTAGTACTCTTCGCCTGACTTCAACATTGACTTCCACCAAATGTGAGCAGTGCTACAAAGACATTTGTGATCAAACGCCTGTGATTGCTTAACGTCTTCTACTTTTAACAGCCATGTGTCACAGTTGTACGAAAGGACAAAGAACTGCAGCTCAGTATTGTCTCCCTTCGATATGTAGTTAGATATCGTGGTGGTCATCGCCACAGATGATGCAGGTTAGTGAATGCCAAACGGCCTTTTAGTATCCGAGCTTAGATTTCATGAGCGATCAACTGGTTTTGGCTGATGGGACTCGCTAATTAAGTGGAGTGACTAGCGTTATTGACTTGCTCGGTAATTCTTTCACAGTCAGACACTGCCACAACACATTACGCTTGACAGAGTCGAATGTTGCCTTTAGGTCAAGAGATGTAGCAAGAGTCGTCCATTGGCTGGTGAGTGTGCGTGTGTGGCAGGACCTGTCGGATGTTGGGAATCTGATCGGTGCACCCTCATTTACGTGTGAAATTAGCTTGTTTATTTCGAGTTTGCTGTTGTCGAGCTCCAGTTAGGCGTTGGGTAAGTGTGGACGCTAGGATCTTGGATAGAATATAAGTTGATTTGATTATCTTCTGGTTGTCACAAGAAGACTTCTCCTCCATTTTGTTTATGACTGGGATGATCGGTGAAGTGAATTAGTGTAATGACACTAGCGCTGATTGCCATGCACTCACTGTCTAGTAGGTTCACTACTTTAATTATCGATATTATGTGTCGATCGTTGGAATTTTCTGGTGTCAAATTGTCATGTTCTGCTACTTTGTATCGTTTAAAGTTCGATAAAGCCTTCTCAACTTCAAGGAGAGCTAGAGGACCGACATCTACATCCTATCGTTCAGAATTTTTGGGTTTTGTTCGTTGTTGCGATATCTTTTTACGACTTCAAATAAAGTCATAAATATTCATGTGAATAGAATTCAACCATTGAGGTGTTCCTAACTTGATTGTGTATTGAGCCCGCATGTAGAAACATTTATTTTGTGGTGAATGTGTGGTGAAGCGAATAGGGACTAGATATCAAGATGCTTATTAAATAGTTACAGATACGTAACTGAAGTCAGGCAAATAAACGAGGAGAGGTTTACTTCAAGTTGATTTCTGCATTGTTCCATATGAAGTTGCCAATCACTTCCTGGAATTTGATGTACCATCAATCATGAATGTCGCCATATTATTTTCGGCAACCTTCAGTTATAGAATTCGATTACATATTGAATTGCTTATTTGATATAGCGCACTGTGATACAGGATTATTTACTGGATGACGTTTTGAGATGAATTTATTACTCATTCTCATCAAAGTAACCATACGACTTCCCAACTTGGTTGGTGTTGGAACGTTCTGCATTCTTTTATTCTAATGGTAGTAAAAATTTTCCATATTTTGCGATGTGTGATATGTCATTCGTGTTACATGTATTAAGTGTTGGTTCAGTTAACAAAGATGCCGTGTTCAGTTTCTCCTTCCTCTCAGGTATATTGAGCTAAAGAATTCTCATGGTATCCTACCCTACAGTGTGATTATGGATCAGTGCATACAGAGCGATAGTTGAGTTCGCCTCTAAATTACTTATCTTAGTGTGGTCTACCATTGTTTTGGTACATTTTTGTCTTCTGCTATTCTAAGTGACAGTGATCAGCTGCTTTGACCTACATACTTGACCTCACAGTCATTACATGGTGTTTGATAGATTTTTGTTAACTGACTCTACTGGATGTTTTAGCCGCAAAGTTTCTCTCTGAGTGAGTTTATAGGTGTAAATACCACCCGAATCCCAGCATCGTTAAGACTTCTATGTAAAATTTGTGATGTGCCTTTTGTATACGGCGACACGGTAGAGAATTTGAATTCTCTCTTAGGCGCCGATAACATTACCACTCTTATCTGTGGTTATAAAAATTTTAAATAAGTTCCGAAGGATAGTTGTTAACAAGTAGGGTCTCCTGTGATGTGTTTCAGTTTTTTATTTAGGTTTTCTGACTTACTAGCTAGACTCCTAGCGTGATTATATCCATGTCAAATTTGTGCATTGTGGAGTTAAACAATTTATTATAAATTTATTTGTAATGAATGTTTATACAGAATGATACTACTTAATTTTTGTAATATTTAGCACAAAGAAATATCGTTGTGTGTGTATTCGTTATATATAATATTTATGATAGAAATCCTAGACCGATTACTTAGATATTTTGTCAAGCCTACCTTAATAGATATAGGGTCAGATGATGTGAAATCTAAGTATCTATTCGAATGTGTTGGTTGCCTACAAGCTTCCATCTTCTCTCATCTCGATTTTGCAATTGGGCATAGGTAGTTCTCCTTTATTTTCTAACTCTTGAGTGAATTGGATTGGGTCTACTAT